CTTTGGAAAATATTCTTTTTGAATTTATCTCAATGTTTCTTTTCCTCAAGTTTTTGATGGCTTTTAGCCTTATTATTGGTCAAGCAGTTGTTTTGCTGCTTCCTGCATCTATAGGTGTCTCAATTTAACATATTAAAAATGAAATAGTTTTATAAAAATGCTGGTTATGACTGAATTGCGCTTAACTTTTGGTTATTTGCTTACTTACGTAGTTATTTTTGATTGATACCCGAGTTGACTGCACTTGAGTTGAGCTGACAGTAATACAATTTCACACTGTGAATTGAACCTGGAAATTCATGATGATGATTAGTTATTTAATAAGTTATTTTTTTTCTTTGAAGTTTAATGTATCTGTAGGTAATTATCATTGTTAAGAAATAGCATGGTCAAGATCATCTTAACTATATTGAATGTGGTTACTGTAGTCCTATTTTGAGTTGTGTAGTATTGCATGATTAATGCTGCCCCTTTTTATTGATCTTTTGCACAAATTTACATGAATTTGGTAGTATAGGTTGTGTTTATATGTCCCATTTTACCAACAGATGTAACTCCAGAATTAATTTCTCTAATAGCTCATGTTTTTAGTTTTTACCATTCATTTTAAAATGCAAGCATCTAGTATTTTTTCAAATTCCTCAGAGAGTAAGGCCTTACTTTTTTTTACCTTTCTTATGAGCAGTACCTCGTAACTTTAGATTGCTTGAGGAACTTGAACGCGGGGAGAAGGGCATTGGAGATGGCACTGTTAGTTATGGAATGGATGACGGAGATGACATTTATATGCGCTCTTGGACGGGGACAATAATTGGTCCGCTTAATGTATACGTTTTATCAATCAACCTTTGGTCATAACATTTTAAAGCCGTCCAAAATTCCATCGATAATTTTATATTGTATTCATGCTGTCATTTACCATAATTATTTTGATAAAAAAAATTCTGATTCTCTATGATATTTGGTACGTTTCACTTAGCAGGTATACATCTGAGAATGGAAGATCCTTAAAATTGTATCTGGTTTTTGTCTGCTTCAGGTTTCCTGAATATTTGAGTACGCAAACTACAAGTCGTGTGCAAAGACATACTAAATTGCACATAAATCACTAGAAAGCAAAGCTGTATGTGGTATTTATTTAGTATATGGTACATTTAGAATGACATCGTATAGATCGACCTTCCCCTATTGCTAGATGCTTCTATATGTAGCACTCATTATTTGATATCAGATAACTGAAAACAGTCTGGTTAATATTGAGATATTCTCTATGAGGGAAATCACAGCAATCACTTGCTTGAGTATCTTAATTTGTTAGCTCTTCTCTCATACTCTTCATAGCACTGTTAATCAAATGCTTTAACTCTTGAGCTTATTGACATTTCAGATGCTGATATTAAAGGCAGAGTCGTGAAATAATGATTGTATAGTGATCATTTGCCTTATTGTTTCCTTTACATAAAAGATAACTACGTTGCTTCGTGAAATATTAAATAAAAATCACTAACAAAACTATAGTTGGTAGAAGATACTATATTAGAACCAAGCCTGTTTTGGTGCTGACTTTCTCCATGCATGCCAGATTTGTTAGTTACTTTATATGTAATTCATTTCCAAATTGTGCTTGTACTTTTATCTTTCTCCCATTTTTCAGCATGTTCTGCTGGTTTTTTTAGTCCAGGATTTTAATCATGTTTATTCTTCTTGTAAGGAATTAATCAGATGATTAAATTCCGTACACTTCTGTATTAGTATGTAAAACTATTTAATTCCTCTTGACTTTCCCTGGATCAAGAGACCAATTATTAATTTGTCTGATTTTATGTCAAGGGTGGCCTAGATCAAATTGTTATACTCACATTTGATATTACCTATTGCATACTAACTTATTGATCTGTTCTCTGTTCTATTCAATGCAGTCTGTGCACGAAAATCGTATATATCAGCTGAAGCTATTTTGTGATAAAGATTATCCTGAGAAACCTCCGAGTGTACGCTTTCACTCCAGAATCAACATGGCATGTGTTAACCATGACACTGGAGTGGTAAGATAGCACTCATTTCCTTGTGCTTCAATTTTCTCACTGCTTAGTGATTATCATTGAAATGCCAGATTTGTGCATTTGTTACCTATATAGCAGTGTTTCTTTAAATATATAGCCTCGTGCTCTTTTGATTGCACAATGATATGGTGTTATGGTAATATCATGCTCACTTAAGTTTGTTAAGCATTATTTTATAACAAAATAAACGTAGTATGGAGTATCTATTCCATTGATTACAAAGAATTAGATTCAGACTGAAGACTAAACTGTATGATTTTATTGGATATATTTGATAGATGATGGTCTCTGAGTCTTTATATATGTCCATAGATGACCTAATTTTCTTTGTAACATCTGGAAAGTCATACATATTTATTTAATTATTCCCAAAGAGGGTTCAAAGGGTACTCCCTGACATTGCAAAATTCTTATTATTTGGTGGTACAATAGGAAGCTTAGCCATAGGGGGTTTTGAGATACTGGTCATTAAGGTGGACCAAATTTAACCAAAAAAGAAAAAAAAATCAACTATATCATGCTTTTCTCTGATTCTTTTAAGATGAAGGTTTAAATTTCAGAAACTTAGAGACAGAATGAAATAAAAAAGAGAACAATCCAAACCCTGAATGCCCCATGTCACCCCATTAAGCAAAAATCTGAAAATTCTTCTAGACACACCGTCTTAAAGTTCACTAATATACGTGGAATGCTATGTTTTTAAAGTTTGCACTATCAACTCACATAGTTAAGAAATTGGGATTTCTTGGTGATTATCATGGCCATTTTTGGTGTTTTTAATTTTGAAGTGTTCATTTCTTTTCCAGGTTGAACCGAAGAAGTTTGGTCTATTGGCAAATTGGCAGCGGGAGTACACCATGGAAGACATACTGACCCAGCTGAAGAAGGAGATGGCAGCACCTCACAACCGCAAACTTGTTCAGCCGCCTGAAGGTACCTTCTTCTAGTTAAAGGATTTAAGAAAATCCTCTTATAGTTACATATAGTTTTTTAGTTTGGTCCTACAAAAAGAATTGTATGGAACCTCTGATGGTCTACATGTTCTGATGCATGTATGTGCTATTTGTCAATGGTCAGTTGCAGACATGACATTATGTTTGATTGTGATAAGTAATGTTATGCAGTCCTCTTTCTAGACCACTGGTTAATTGGTCACCTGTTGCTTTTTCGATGGTTTAAAGTTCTAAATTCAAAAAGATACCACATTATGTCATTTATTTTCTGTTTTGTCCTAAATCACATGACGGTTGTAATCTAATGTGCACAACATGGAGTTCTCTCCACTTGAAGGATAGATTATAGGGTAAATTTCACAGAACTACAGTGAACTTGGTATTGCACAACCCCCTCAAATTTTGCCATTAAAAAACCTTGATCAGCGGAAATTAGTCTAATTTGTTGTGTGCTTCACATGCAACTTATTTTGGATAACTTGGCCCTGTATGCTGAATATATCTGCCACACCCCCTCTTCCCCTCTCATATTTCCTGTGGTAGTTGGGCCTTTTTACCCTTCGTGTTAACGCTATTAGTGACATTTCCAGTAGTTCATTGTCTTTTTCTAACATTCAGAACCCCTAAAATTCATAATAGTTTTGTGAAATTCACCCGAAATGTGCTGTGAAAGATGGTTAGGAAAAAAGGAGGGAGCATTAAGTTGGAGAGTTTTGATGATATGAAATGTTACCACGGAAATTTATACATCTCTTCCGAGGAATGATCAAAGGCTTACTGATGGCTTACCTTTGATAAGTTGGTCTCAATAGGTGTACTTTGAGGGCACACAAACTCACTGGAGTCAAGTTTGGAGTCCCTCAAATTTCTCATAATAGAGTAAATATAGAATGAGGGCATGGGTAAGCTGATAGCTCATTTTGCGAAAGAAGCTGCCCACTCATACCCCCCCCCCCCCCCACCCCAATGTGACAACTAGGTGAGCCTAAACACTATTGATGTTAGTGGGTATCTTATTTTTACAAAATGAGCTGTCGGCTCATATACATTTTTTTCGATATAGAATAAATATCTCTTGTGCAAAGTTACCGGGAAAATGGGAGGAAGTGGTGAGATATGTTGCGTGCCGTGCGAAAGCGTGCTCGCAAACCAACCGAGTCGGTAAGCGATGAGAGAAGAACCAAACACGAGTGCAATTCACAAAATTAACAACTAAAATCACACAAACACATAGATTTACGTGGTTCGGCAAATTGCCTACGTTCACGGGGAGAGGATGGGGAGATTTCACTATATGGAGGAGAAACAACGGATTACAATCTCTCAAATAACTCTCAAAGTAATCCAACCAATGATCTCACACTCCCTCACAATAATCTCCCTCACAAAACAGCTTAAAACAATGTTAATTCTCTGGCTTTCGCCTCTCACAAAACCCTAGAAACGTTTGTTTCTATTTATATCAAAACCCAATCCAAAACATGCTAGGAAACCAACTTCAGTCCCGTAACCACTTTCGGTCGACCGGTACTACTCTATCGGTCGATCGGTCTACCTCCATCGGTCGACTGATAAGAGTGCATTGGTCGACCAACCAGAGCAGAGTTTTCAAACCCTGTAATGCACGAGATCGGTCGACCGGTCCTATACGATCGGTCGACTGACCCGAGGGTTTTCCTGTAGTACTGATTTTGCACGTTTTTCCACATTTCTCAACGATTCCTTCGCCGTTCCTTCACCATTTTTAACAATTCTCCACCTCGCGAAGTGTTCCCAAAACTAAGCCGACACCAACATAAGCACTAATGCGTCGTCTCACCAAATCCGGCTGCACCAATGAGGTTGCCTACATACCCCCTCTTCCAAGGGTTCAAGCCACCCGTAGTTCATTCAAATGGTCGCAAACGGCCTCAACAATCATGAATTTGTAATAAGTTTCTACAATGATCAAACTTGTTACTCGGGACCACCTTTGTGAGCATATCCGCTAGATTATCTTTTGTGTGGACCTTTCTGAGCCCCACATCCCCATCTTCAAGAACATCTCGAATGAAGTGATAATGAACATCGATATGCTTCGTCCTCGCATGAAAGACCTGATTCTTCGCCAAATAAATAGCACTCATGCTATCACAATAAATGGTGATGGATCGCTACGAAACATCAAGATCCTCCAAAAGTATTCGAAGCCAAATCGCCTCCTTAACAGTCTCTGTAATCACCATATATTCTGCCTCCGTCATTGATAAAGCCACAGTAGACTGTAAGGTGCATCTCCAACACACCGACGCACGGGTCAAAGTGAACACATACCCCATCGTTGAACGGCGTTTATCCAAATCTCCAGCGTAGTCTGAATCTATGTATCCAATACATAGATGCTCACCGCTAGTATCCCGCTCAAAAACCAAACCAACGTTGAGAGTACCTCGAATGAACCTCAAAATCTATTTCATGGCATTCCAATGACCCGGACCCGGGTCGTGCATGTATCTCGAAACTATGCTCACTGTCTGTGATAAATCCGGCCTCGTACAAACCATAGCGTACATCAAGCTCCCAACTGCGCTTGCATATGGAGTTTTCGACATCAATTCTCTATCTTCAATTGTCTTTGGTGAAAGGTCAGCTGAAAGCTTCAAATGGGCTCCCAATTGTACACTAACGGGTTTTGTCTTCATACTCACATTAAACCGCTATAGCACATTCTTCAAATAAGCCACTCGTGTCAAACAAATTCTGTCCCTATCTCTGTCTCTGCCGATCTCTATCCGCAAAATGCGTTTTGCTTCATCCAAAACTTTCATCTCGAGCTCTTTCGAAAGCTGTACCTTCAACTCGTCTATCGCGGATCTGGAAATAGAAGCAACCAACATGTCCAACATGTCACCGACATAAAGCAACAAATAAATGTACGCACCTCCCCGCAACTTGCGATAGTACACACATGGATCAAACTGGCTCCTAATGTACGAATGACCGAACATAAACCCATCGAATCGCTTATATCACTGTCGCGGAGATTGCTTCAACCCGTATAACGATTTCTTCAACCTACAAACCAATTTCTCCTTCACTGCAGCTCGAAACCCCAATGGCGGAGTCATAGAGATTTCCTCATCAAGATCACCATGAAGAAATGTCGTTTTTACATCCAAGTGATCCAATTCCAAACCTAACTGTGCAACCAAACCTAGCAATATCCGAATCGAAGAGTGTTTCACCATCGGAGAAAGGATCTCATTGTAATCAATGTCTTCTTCCTATGCATAGCCCTTCGCTACCAACCTAGCTTTGAACCTCACCGGAGTGCCTTCAATGCCCTCCTTCTTCATATACACACATTTGCAACAAATAGCCTTCCGCCCCTTTGGAAGCTCAACAAGCTCCCATGTGTCGTTCTTCTGAAGAGATTTTATCTCCTCTCGCATGGCTTCCTGCCACAAATCAGATTCTGAACTTTGCTCAGCCAGCTTCTTTGAATGTAGTAGGAATCATCTCATCGACACTCTCCACCGAAAGTGCATAAGCAATGGTTGTATTCGTATACCTAGCTGGCAACTGTATGTCTTTCCTGGGTTTCCAAACCGCAATTGAATCATGAACCTGAGCTGTCGAT